TGAAACCCTGAACCCCGAACCCTTAAACCCCGAACCCTATGATGAGTGGAGTCCTCATTAGCTTTATTCTTTAAATTTTTTTTTTCTAGAAGGTTTTTTATTTTTGCTGATTAGCTTTTCTTAAGTGTATGATGTCATATGCCATGTGTAGTGTTCTCATGTGTTGGCAGACTAGTAAACAACATCCCGTGTTGTTCTCACAAACTGCTCACAAGTCTATTAAGAATCGAGCAGACTATTTGCTCTTCATAAGTATTGCATAAACTTCAATACATAATTGAGATGTCAAAAATAAAATTAAGAGAAGCAATGATGATTTTATATAATGAAAAACAAATAGAAAAATGTGGTACGTGGGATAGAAACAAAGTTCTTACAAGGGAAGCCACTTGCATATTCAGGCTCTTCCGATATATTGCCTCCGGGAAGCACAGAGCAACATCCCTAACAACCTGAAATAAACAATGTAGTCCATTACTTAGGCGCCCTCACCCACCACAATGACACTAATGCATCATTAATCTTTTCTTGTCTTTATTATTGTGACTTATGAAAAAAATATGTAAATACAAAGTATGTATTCATATGCAGATTCAATGGGAGCAAAGTCAAGAAAAGCAAATCATTGGATGACTTGAAAAGAGCAAGAGGAAAAAGAGGAAAAAAATAAAAATTAAACTAACCATGTAATCAATAGAGAATCCATTCGTCAGTTTGACTGATGATGAAGAAGTTTGTTTCACTGGGAATGAAAATGTGAAGCCAAGTCTACTTTTTTCCCCTTGTGAAGGCTCTGAAGCATTTTCTTCTCTTTCAACAAAATCCTTCAATGATGTTTCGATATAATCAAAAAGCTCCTGGAAATGGAAATTTAATGAAATATTAATCAATTATATTTTTTAGTCCAAGAAGTGCCACATCTGAGAAGCCAAAATGCACAAGAATCAGCTACCTCACTTGTGCCGGTCATCAAATTTGAGGGATGGGCTGTCGTTCGACATCATGAATTATGGTAGCTGACCTTTGGCCACCTAACTTTACTCGCAAGACCCGGAAATCGGTACCGCCGAGATCTAGAGCATAATAAATCCCCTTTTCATTCCTGGAACAGCATGTTTGCTACAATCGGTAAAGAGATAATACTTGGAATCTAATAAAGAATCTAAAAGTCTCGCTACATTGAACAAAAATTTCTGAAAACGTAAAAGAATAAGCAACACAGATATAGAAACTGATCCTGAATTACAAGTCCAGAATCTCAAAGCATTGACACAATCATGGTTACCAGCTGAATCATATGAATCCAATTATATCATAACAACTCAAAGCAACACATTCAATCTATGAAAAAAAAAATGATCTTGTGAAGGTTAAAAAAATAAACAGATAAACAATACATAACAATCAGAAGATTGAACATTTAAATCTTAAAAGAGAGTAACAACTTGTGGTAATTGGATAACTATATATTTTTGTCACAGCAGAGTATCTAATAATCAAGAAGACGATATTGCTCGCCATTGAAAAAACACACAGAAACTCGGGACAGCAATTTCAAAATAAGATAACACCAAATTTGACTAGTACTCATACATAAAATGTAGACTAAACAACCTGTAATCTTGATATTGATTATCTAAAGTTATAATGAAAAAATTAATCGCATGGAAGGAAGGTGGAAAGACGGGAAAACACAACAAATATTATCATTAATGCGACACCTCATTTTCGGCGATTGGAAACAAAAACATGCCAATCACACCAAGGCAGTAAATTAATGAATTACCTAATTACCAAAAAAAAATAACACGCCAATTTCAACACTAGTAGCAACTCATATAAGCAATTCAACCTCACACTACACAAAAACATTTAATTAAAACTTCATCCACCCATTCCTAAACAATCAACCAAATGAATGCCGCCAATGAAACAACATTCACCTCTCAACTGCTGCACATATAAGTACAAACTTGGACAAAACCAACCCCAAGACAATTAAAATCATACATGCAATAGATGTTCGCCCACACACACACACACACCAAATCTGAAGCACCAAGGCCTTACCCAGTAGGGAGGTCGCAGATATAGGTGAGAAGCATCTTCAGCTTTGACCCGCCTTCGGAGGCCAAGCCCGCATGCATCTCAACCGCCATAGCATCAACCAACCACACAGGGGTGGCGCATCCCTCATCCTGTCAAGAAGCCCTACCTGTACAAGGATAATGCTTTACACCTGGCCTGCCTTAATGATTCTTAAGAAATGCGGAATTCGCTATCATTCCAATTGCAGTAGTGTTTTCAATGGTTTCAATCTGATCTTCATAAATATCAAAAAATTTTGGAATGACTTGGCTCTAGAGTGGAAGCTTAGGAAATTTGGATTGAATCAAAAAGTCAATTCATGAACCCAAATACCAGAAACATTGAGATAAATTCTATTTTATCAACATTGAACACCAACATGAAATTAGAATTTGTAAAATACAAAAAACTAATAGATAAATGGAATTGTACATTAGGTGCTTGCATATATTTGACATCAACTTAACATAATCTGTAACATTTATTGACCTCTAGTATTTGTCATATCAATACAAATTCAATGAAGGGAATCCTGTTTTCTACCAATACCAAAAGAGAAGCAGCAAAATGCATACACGAGGCTGAAATTAACCCAAGTACAGAGAATATACTTATCTAGCCATTTCACTACACCAAAACAACAACATAAAAAAATAAGGAAAATGGCTACATAAAAACAGACCTCAACTCAACTTAATGAGCAATGTTGTGTAAGCCCTAGAAGCCATACTAGCAATCTCAGCTTGCATATGAATGGCCCTCTCTTCTGGGGAAGAATCCATGAGCCACATGATGACGGGGATGTTGTAGGTGACGCCCTGGAAGAAGATTGGGACGGTGCCGTGGCCTGGAGGAGGTTGACCGTCGTTGTGGGTGAAGACGGCGGTCTTGGGCTGCAGGGAGGGGTAGGTCTCGATGAGGTGCGTGCTGGCGGATGTGACACTTCTCCTCCACGTACGGCAGGACCGTCGGCACCCGCTGTGAGAGGACGCTGAAATGGGCATCCAAAATTTCCAGTTCCCACAAACGATGAACAGGCGGAGCGTGTGGAACAGAGCCTCTGTTTATCTGTATATCTCGATTGCTGTTCGGATTAACAGGCGGCGCGTGTGTACACGAAATGCATCTTGTAACGGTAACCCTTCCTGACGCCGTTGATCAGGTTAGTGACGTAGCTGAGCGCCGTGCGAATGGCGACGGTTGTTACCCGGCTGCTAAACCAGGCGTTCACCTTCAGCTTCTTCTTTCCGGTGGCCTCGTCGGTGATGAGATAGAAATAGAAATCGAGGTTCAGGTGGGCGTAGTGTGCGTGTGAGAGATATAGAGGCTAGAGAGAAGGGGGAGTGTGCGGTTATGGCTGCACGAAGAGAGCATTTAAAGGAGAATGAGGCGAAACCCTAGATTAGTGATGGGCTTCATTTGGGGCATATTTTATTGGTTAGTAGTTCATCTTGGGCTTATTTTTTTGTACCTCTTAGCCCATTATCTAGAGTTTAATATGAAGTCCACTTAATTGCTTGCTTCTAAATTTTTTTAGTTGTTAAATTATTACTAGTACCAATCTATGGATAAAAAGTATTAATTAATATTTATAAATTAAAATTATTCATTGAATAATTTTTATAAATTACAAATATAGAATCAATGTATAAGACTCAGTGATTTTAATGTGCCATGAGCTCTACAGTTTCAGAGTTAATATGGATTGGGTATATACTCAGTGATTTTAAGGTACTGGTTGTTTGTCATATTCCATTAAGGTGTGATAACAAGGCGGCCCTACATATCTCAGTTAATCCGGTATTGGTTGCTTGTCATGTTCCATTAAGGTGTGATAACAAGGCGGCCCTACATATCTCAGCCAGATCAATATAGAAGAGATATTGGCAGACTTCTATATCTCAACCCCACTAGGCCTGACATCACTTATGCAGTCCAGCAGCAGAGGGATGCTGCCATGCATGTCCTAAGATATTTTATAAGGACATCCTCTCACGGACTTTGTTTCCTCATAACAGCCATTTTGGTTTGGTAAGACATTTGTGTACTTAAGCTTTCTATACATAAATAAGTTTGGTTTGGTAAGATGAGCTTTTCAAAAAAATTCAAGTTTATCTCATAAGCATTTTTTTATAGTTTAGGGTTTAGGGTTTATGGTGGTGGCGACCGACGGGCGGCGGCTAGAAGACAACTGTTAATGCATGCTTTGCTTTTGGCTGTGGACAAAAAATCTCATGTTTCTATAACTAATTGTGAATTGATAAGATGAACCTTTTTTTTATTTTTCTTTCACTGCTCTTATGTTGCTTAGAGCATCTCCAATGTTATGAGTTTGAAAGACCATTATTTTTAACACATTTCAATTAGTGATTGTAATGTTAATCCATATTGGAATAACGTTAAACGACTATAAATTTGAATGAAACTAGTATCTCCAATGCATAAATTTGATAAGAAGTTATTTGTTTAGGTGGACCAATTAAATAATTCATTGATACAAGAAAAATTAAAAATTAAAACAAATATAAAGTAAATTGATGAGTCATCATGTTTAACATGGTATTAGATATTAGAAAGTATACTCAACATTGTCAATATTAAATGACATCCACCTCATTATGAACGAGTTCATAACAAGATGCATTGGAGAAAAAAATAGTAACACACTTTCAAAAGTTGATGATATGGATGACTTTTTATAATGTCAAAAGTCACATTGGAGATGCGTTTAGTTTTGACTAAAGGATTTGGAATAGTAAATTTGTGGAAATTGGGTTGATTGCCACGATTGAAGGGGTTGCAGAACGAATGTGTTCTTAGAAGTTTGAGGAAAATTAAGGGTGTAAACCAATTAAAATTTAATGTAAATTTATATCTAGTTTATTTTTAGTTTATTATAGGTTTATAAATAATTACAAGAATATATATTTCTATTTTAAATCTATGTTTTTTTTGTTTTATAAACGCTTTTAGTTTATTTTTAGTTTATCTAGTTTATTACATTATCTCTATAATTTATTAAAAATTAATTTGAAACTTTTAGTTTATCTTAAGTATATTATCTTTTTTTTTTGAACATATATATTTTCTATTTTAAATCTATCATCTTTTTTTTATAAATTTTTTAAGTTTATGTTTAGTTTATCTTAAGTTTATTACATTATCTCTATTTTTAAGTTTATTATCTCTTCTGTTTTACTATATCTTAAGTTTATCTTTAGCTTATTTTAAGTTTATTATTATTATTTTTTTACTATATCTTAAGTTTATTTTAAGTTTATTATCTATGTTTTTAGCTATATCACGAAAACAAATTGAGAAACAAATCATATGAAAAATAAGACATTGTATAACCTACCAAAAGAAAAATCAAACCATCAGTAAACATCTTCAAAATACAAATATATTACATACCAATATACAAAGTTACAAACCCCATAAAAACTCATAGAAACTCTTGTATTGTTTCATTACCTATGAGCATAGCCGCCTCCTGCAGATTGAAACTCGAACATGTACCTCCTGACACAAAATCTCTTCATAGTCGGCCTATCCATTGACGAGCACACTAAGCACTTCTCGACAAGTTTTCCAACTAGCATCAGCACCTCAACCTCACCACACGCCTCCAAACGACTATCCAAGATCCTAACCAAGACGTCCCCACTAATCGACTCCATAAAATGCAGGACCACTCCAAAACGGTAGACGTCACTCTGTTTTGTCTGTACCTAAGAACTCAAACATCCCAAGTCATCGTACTGGGCCCAAAATCCATATTATTGCGTCGTCTGAATATCCACAAACTAGCCACGACAAGAATTATAAATCTTGGATGGAAATTGAACAGAATTTTCAAGCTATGTTATTTCTCCCGAGTTTACTTCAAGTTTATATTCAAGTTTATATAACTTATTAAGATAATAATGGCAAATTTGATAACAATATTCTTTTCTTTTACCAGATTCAAATGCATCCTAAAGGGGCTGCTACACTCGCACGGCTGGTGGCGAGTTCCACCGCGCTGTGGGTGGTAAGCTCGATGAGCAATATGATCTCTTTGGCCATATCGGCCAGCAGATGGTAGAACACCATGATCCAACCCATGTAGAATATTGCCATATGCCCGGTTTTCTTATTAGGCCTCGGGATGCTTAAATCCATAAACAATATTTTAGATCGTGTTGAAAAATAGAAAAAAAAAACATAGAAATTAAATCAATAGAATCATTACCTGTTGAATTATTTTAGGGCTTCTTCTCCGACGAGATGTCCCATTTTTTCGTGTTAAATTCATAAATTCACCTGTGTTGTAGCAAAATATATTTTTACCGAGTACCGAATCGAAAGATTCGTTCCCCGGGTCGATCTCTCGAGGAAGGCGGTTTGGAATCTAGGGATGGCGTTGATAACACATAATAGAAAAATAAATCATAAACACTCTAATCAAGATAGTGGTTTTTAATTATCAACTATGAAAGAGAATTCAAACAATACAAAATCGAACTTAAAAGCAAAGATGAAGATCAAAGGATAAAAAACTAAGGAGTCGGGGATGATGATTTTCTAACAATACAAATATCAAGCTAAGATCATTCTGTAAAATGATTCGAGCAATCTAACGTCTAGAGATAGTCCACAATAACTCTTCGTAACAAGAGGATAACATAGACGGTAAATCAAACAAATCACACAACACATAGATAATACGTTTCCGAACAAGTCTATTTCATGCGAGCCTAGATCGATCAATCCCTCCCCTTTCGATTTTAAGAGCTGATTAAATTATTCTAGACGATTGTTAATCTACTAGTTCGATGGATTTAAACACATCACAGAAGAACGAATCATATTCAATTAGAGATCAATTGCAAATCGAAGTGTCACTCTTCGACAATAATCAACATTCAATGTACGAGAATTATAAACCCTAGTTAAGAACAACTCGCATAAATTGAGCAATCAACAAGCATGATAATCACAATTAAATTCTAAACATCATCATCATCCCATGTCCCTAGCGAAACGATTTAGCCACTCATATGGAATTCAAAATCAACAATCTCAACAATCTCAACAATCAAAGCCATCATATTCATGAATTAGATGAAAAGAGAAACTTACGATTAATAGAAATCCAATATTCGAATCCAATGACAAAGCTAAATCCGGAAAAGTAAAGAGAGAATTGAGCAAAAAGAACGATCTAAATATGAGTTTTTAGAGAAGGAGAAAGTGAAAAAAGAATATTGGGGATTGTTTCCGCGAGTATAAGGATCGTTTTGATATATAGTGCGCGAAAAACGGAGCTAAAAAGAGTAAAAACGAGCAAAAATAAAAACAGGGTCGGCCTAGTCGCGACTCGCAAGTTGACTCGCGACTCGCGAATTGCCTGGGTCGCTGGGGCTGTGAGTCTCTGTTTTTTTCGCGAGGCGCGAGATGCTAGGTGGTGGGGCCGCGCGTGCTGGGCGTGGGGCTAGTCGCGGGTCGCGGGCACGGTCGCGGCTCGCGACTTGGACTGCACTGCGCCTCTTCACGTTTTGGCCTCGTTTGAGCTCGTTCGAACTCAGAATTGAGCGCCGTTTTTTCCTACGCGTCGCCAACAAACCCTTCTATTCAACTATGCTCTTGAATCCAATTTTTCCTGAAGATAAAATTCTCTTAAAGCTCTCGACCTACACACCAAAAACGACAAAACACAAAAGAAACCCGGAAAAACAAACGAAAAACACCTAAAGACTCAAAATGAAATAAATTACATAATAAAACACGAAACGGACTAAAAACTAAAGAAACGACCTAAAATGGGAGAAAAAGAAAAATAAAATAAACACGAAAAACGCAACAAAAATGGGACAAACAACCTGGACCTGGGATTCGACCCCAATTGTCAATCATAGACAAAAAATTCAACGTTGTTGTTTCAAAACACAAAGGAAAAATTGAGCAACAATAGAAACAAAACAAACCCAACGACTCACATATATGCAATCACAAAACAACCAATTAAACCCCAACAACAAAATAAGGAAATCAAAATTAGGTAAACCCTAAATCAGTAAACAACACCTTTTTGACTAGTTGTTCCTACCCCCGACGAGTCATATGCAGACCCTCGAGGCAGCGGATGATGCAGACGGTGGGAGGAGGGAGCTGGAGATGTAGAAGTTGGCGGTGGTTCCGATGGCGTTGCGATGCAAACCGTCCGCTGGGATTGTCACGGAGGTGGGGATGCTCTCCTAGACGTTGTACCCATTTTCCGCCTCCATCGCATCATACCTTAGGCGTTGGCGCTGTCGTTGGGCTACTCAGAGCATCTCTAATGGTCGAAGTGAATTGACAACTGAATAGACGGTCTTCTATCCACGTGGACTAAATAGAATGGCATATTGATAAGTAACTCTCTAGTGGTAGATGTCTTCAAACTGTAAAAGTCTATACACGTGTTTTTTTCTTTAAACTTTTGTGTTCATCTGTTATTTTTGTTTTTTGTATTCATATATTCATTTGGTACTTTTTGGTTCGGTGTTTTTTTTAAGAGTATTCTTCTTGTATATGTTAATGCACGCTTTTAACAAAAACATATACGTTAAAGTTATAATATCATTTATACCATTAAATTTATAATATAATTTAGAAGTGTATCAATTTTTTTCTTTTATTTTTTTTCATATATATTAATTTGGCTTTTGATAAAGTGTTTACAAATAAATATCAATAAACTATATACATGTCTTAGTAAATAAAATAATCTTTATATAAATATTGTTATATTTATTTAGCTTTTATTTTGTATTAGTTGTATAATGATAATTTAAATATGTATAAAATAGTATATTTGAGGGAAAAGAAATTTTACCTGCGTTTGGCAGTTTATGCCTTTTCTTAGCCAAATGATATATTTTAATAAAAATAAAAAAGAAATAATTAAAGGAAAAAGAATGACTCACCATGTCTAACAAGCCTTCTACATGTAAAGCAGAAAAATAAGAGAGTGAAGGAAGAGCCAATTTTTCTCTCTCTTGAAGCCGATCCCCTTTTCTCTGTAACCTAGCCGATCAAATTGAGCTGATTGAATCTCCCTCGCCGGCCATCTGGTCCCGTCGGTGGACGGCCTCCGTCGCTCGTCCATGGGGGTGCAGTCCTCGACTCCTCTGCTGCCGCTTGCCTGTTTTCCTGCGTCGGCTATCGGTGAGTCTTCTCCGACTTTGATGGTCGCCGGAGCTCAGGTCCCGTCAACGAGGGTTGGGGTGCGGCGCTGGTTTATGGACGAGGCTGGGTTAACTACTATCGGTTATGGCTGGGACGCTGCTTCTTCAATCCACTCGCCCTTCTTGCCGTAGGTTGGGACCGCGCTTTCTCGCCGGCGAAGCGGCGATTTGCAGAGCTCTCTTCCATTTCAACACACGGCTGTGTCACTTGGAGGTTTGCTTTCAATATTGCTGCTTTTGTCTCGGTTTTCCTTTTTGTCCGCGATCGGAGGGACCTCCCAGTTCTTCTTGGCGAGATGGATATGGGGTTCACGATTGGTGGTTGTTGTGACTGCTGGGGTTAGGGTGATGATTCCGGTTAATGCGCGGCTGCCTGATTGTGTTCAGCCGATTCGGGATGGGTTGATCGGTTGTTGTCTTCGGCGGGCCGTTTCGGTAAAACCGAGCCGTGTTCTTCACGTGATTGGAGTGCGGGCCAGCTCTTCGGTTGGTCCTGGAGTGTGGGTACCCGTCTTGCTAGGCCTTATGTAGTGGCGGGCGGTCGTTTCCGTGCTCTGGAGTTGCCTTTGAAGTTGGTTTGTCTACCGTAAAACTAGATGTATCTGGCGGGGGAGGTCGTGTCCCCCTTTATGTCTTTTGTGTTAGTTTTGTTGGTCTGTGTTTTCGTTATTCGTGTCGTTTTAGATTGTGTTTTTGGTTTGGGCCGTTGGTCCCCGTGAACCCGAGTGTCACCTTATTATCCCAATGGGATCCGATACTCGGGTATTACTCCGTTGGGGTCTTTTTAGTTGTTGTTTATTGTTTTAGTTGGTTAGTTTGTGTTGCGAGTTTTATTCTAGCGTTGCTAGCGGGACTCTAGGCGGTCTTCTGACCTGTCCTCCCACTTTTTCAGTTGTTGACTGCTGTATATTCAGTCGTTGACTGCTGTGTATTCGCACATTTGTGCATTTTGATTTATAATATAATCTATCGTTTTGGGAAAAAAAAAAAAACAAGCCTTCTACATGTAGAAGGACTTCTGCATTTTATCCTTTATCTTTCATGCCATGTCATTGTATGTAGAGTCTAGACATTCACGATTGGAGACAATTTTTATTGAACTTCTTCTACAATTCTACAATTCACAGTCTATTGGATATGCTCTTATTCTTCCACTCTGCTCGAGAATAAATGGAGACGAATATTGGGCAAGCGATGAAAGTGGTATTAAGAAAAGCAAATCTCGTTTAAGTGGAAACAAAAAGTTAAGTTTGATAATTAAAAAAGTCATATAGTTATTAGGGCAAAAAACTTATAAAGGGTCGTGCACCAGGTAATTTTTTCAAGTTTTTTTCAAAAAATATAATTGTTTTAAGATAATTCCAACTATAACCTCAAACTAGTACGTCACCCCCGCGTTGCGCGGCCTAATATTAAAAATGATGTGAACGAATTATAATCTAATAAGAGATTATCTTAAGAAAACATCTATTGAGATAATGTAGAATAAAAATTTTATCGATACATTTAATAGTAGATGAAGTGTGTTCATTATCACCAACAATAATAATAATAATTAGACAATATGAATTCGTGACTCTATAAACAATAACAACATATAATTGTTTGTAGCTAAAAAATAAAATATATTTTTTTCTTAAAATTTTTAAAATATAATTCATAAGCGTACAAAAATATGTGACATACCATTAAAAAAATTATCTGTCAAATTAGTGACACTCCTTCAAAAATTTTCATAAAAATGTCTATATGATAACATATTTTTCATAAATTCCAAAAAAAAAAGACATAACTACTATTCTACAAATAAACTAATATATGAATAATTAAAGTTAATATGTACGAAGATGAGAAAAATAATATTTCTTTATGTAAATTAAACTAAATAAAAAATAAAAATGACTCAATAAT